AAACGACAAAAAAAAAATGTAAAAAGAAACCGTCTAGCATAATGCTATATTTTGTTCTTATGATTTCATTTTTGTAAATTGTTTTTTATCGGTTTGGTTAACCAACCCATTTAGTTAATCTAGTAATATATGTTTATAAAAAACCGTTGATCAATAAATAATACGCAGCCTAGACCCATATTATTCCACATTTGTTCGGGTCAAGAAGATCCTACATCGCAGTTGGTAGGTCTAAGTTTACTTGACCGAATCACATTTGATCGGTTCATACAAAAAGATTTGACGAATCAGAACATCGAATGGTTTAAACCAGTGTTGTGGTATTACTTTCAAATTTTTTATGTAGAATCCATGTTGTTTAAAGAAAAGAAAAAATCAACTACAATGTAATTTAAATGTAGTTTTTAGGACATATATGGAGTTGGAAACAAAAGATTTTCAATTCATTATTAAGAAACAATGTAGAAAATCATACAGTATATTTTTTTTGTCAATGTATATGTCTTATCCCTTTTTTTCTAATGAAATCAATTATCAAAGTTAATAAAGAGTGAAAAGAAAATTGTTAAGGCAAGGGCTTTGCAGTTTGTTCTTTGTATTACCCAAAGCAAATGAAAATGCGAAAAGAACCGAAACCTTTTTACACTTCAGGATTCTCAAACCTTACGGGTGGTCTTTTTCAGCACATGCGTATTTAATCAGAAATACAAAATGACGGTTGTTCTTATATTGATAAGAAATGACGTACGTTGACAAAAGAAGAACAAATCTTGAATCAAAGCAACGTAATGTAATCATATTTATTCATGAAAACGAATTCATCGTACATGATTTTATCGATGAGGAATTATTGAATAGAGTAATTAAAAATTCAAAAATATGAAATTAAAAATCGTTAATTTATGGGGTAGACAAATAATGATCTGACTCAAAAGGAGTTAGTATAGACCCTCTAGGGAGAAATTTTATCTCCGGTGGCATTGGTTTGATAAGTGGAATTACTACCACCACTTCCTCCT